CGGGGCCAGGCACCCCTACCCCTCCGTGGATCCGAGCTGGGGGCTGCAGGCCTGCGGGGGTGGGGCTCGGTCCACCTCAGGAAGGAACATGAGGCCTTGATTGAGCAGCCCTGCGGGGCGGAGGGATCGCCGGCGAGCATGACTCTGGCATGATTCAGAACCGGTGGTTGCAACCCTTTTTTCCTTCTTTATTTTTTAACCTGGCGCCCAGCTTCCAGCAGCACTCTTGTTGTGCTCGTCCAGCTTGGCGCTGTCCCTTCGAATCCTCCCCTGCCCGACCTCACCAAGTATGGTTAGACATCTTCTACCTGTAAATAGTTTGGCGCTGCCAGCTCCTCGCGTGCAAGGCGTGGGCCTGACGCTGGGATGCTGATGCGAGCACGGTTAAGAGCTTTAAAAAAGCCCATTAAAAGGTAAACAGGTGCTCACCCGTCTATTTCGTGGGGTGAACATTTAGCGTAACTTACATATTTCCACCCCTCTTTTAAACTGCCGCTCTGCTCTGCGGTAAAGCAGGGTTCTCCACCGAGCCGATCAGGTGGGACGTTTTGTCAGCACACACTGTTACCATTTTTGGTCAAGGATTTGCAGGCAAAGCCTTCCCAGACTTTGCTGGAAATATCACCCTGTTATTGCGTCTGTCTGTCTGGAAACAGTTGGTACCAGCTTCCCTGCGTGCACAGTTTTCACTGCGTAGCAGTTTTGGTTTTCTTAAGTTACTGCAACTTTCATGGAGATGCAGGTTGCTCATCAGTGAAAGAAAAAGGTTAACCGGTCGATTCTCATTGATAGGGCTTTGGTATTGGTCACTTTTTGATTCTTCTTCGGTTTAATGCTATAAGCTACAAAGAGGATCAGTACCTTAAGTCTTTGTAACCTCGCTAAGATTTTAAATGTGTATGGTGCTTTATATTAAAAGGCTTAATCTAAGGGATTTTGAGTTCTGGTAAGTTTCGGGTCATCCACTCGGTGTAAGTGCTTTGATGTGGGCTGGAGTCTGCTGTGGGGTCTTCTGGTGGGGTCTTCTGGTTTGACATCTTATTTTGTTTGAATTGTTAATACAGACTTATTTTCCTGTGTGAAAATAGGACCAAACATTGTAACTTTAGTTAACTGCTTAAGTTAAATGCTTGGTTTTACTTAAAGCTTAACTCCCATACTTCTATATGTTTGAAAACAATGAAGAAGAGTCTGTTATGTTTCCTGGTTCTTGGGGGGAATGGAAATAATAAAAATAAAGATGAGCGGATTCCAGATACATTTCAAACTTGTTGACTTTGACCAAGAAGACGTTACAAGTTACTTTTGTTTGGATGTTTGCAGAGAATGAGAGTTCAAAGTATAGACTGACCATTTTCTACCTCAGGCTCAGGTGATCCTTTCACCCAATAACTGGTACTACAGGTGTGCACCACCACACCTGACTAAATTTTTTTGTAGAGACGAGGTCAGCTATGTTGCCCAGGCTGCACTCCTGGGCTCAAGCAATCTTCCCACCTCGACCTCCCAAAGTGCTGGGGGTTACAAGCTTGAGCACCACGGCTGGCCTCTTTTTAAAAGGTTATTCTGGTATTAAGCTTTATGAACAGAGGGCCATCTTTGTTAAGTCCAGCGGTTAGAGACTATTGTGGTTATTATCCCAGATTCTAGGCCCTACTGTCTGTATTTGGAATTGTTTAGATCTCTTGATTAGATGCTTGCTTCTAAGTTTCTTTTTAAGATTAAATTTTAACTGCTGTTAGATTTGTTGTTTTTTATTTTTAAAAAATATTTTATTAGGTTTGTTTTAAATTAGCAGAATCACTCCCTGGTATTCACTAAATCTTCTAGAAGCACTTGAAATAAAGCAGTTTGGAACCAACTCAAAAGATTGTCTCCATATCCTGGGCACGTTAGGATATTTCATGCTTTTAAATGTCTCACTTTATAGTGCAAAAACAAACAAATGAAAAAGCCTACCTCCCAAGCAAAAGATTTGTTTATTTATTTATTTGTTCATTTATTTATTTTGAGTCAGAGTCTCACTCTGTCACCCAGGCTGGAGTACAGTGGCATGCTCACGGCCACTGCAGCCTCTACCTGCTGGACTTAGGTGATCCTCCTACTTCAACCTTCTAAGTAGCTGGAACCACAGGCATGGGCCACCTCACCCAAATAATTTTTGATTTATAGTAGAGATGAGATTATGCCAAGTTACCAATCTGCTCTTGAACTCAGGCAGTCCTCTCACTTCTCCCTCCCAAAGTGCTAGGATTGCAGGTGTGAGCCACCACGCCCAGCTCAAACTTTTATATGTGTGTACTGGGTGTGCCAGCCTTCTTATGCAGAGTATTTACCAGCCCACCATCAAATTCCTAGGGTTATTTGCTCAGCAATTCTGTTGGGTGTGGCATGATATGTCACACTAGCCTTGCCCAGCTCCTCTTGTAATCAAGGTGTATGTTTGCAGCAGAGCTTATGGCTCTCTTGGAAAGTAGGGGTGTGGTCATGCTTCTGAAATAGAGTTAAAGGATCTACACGGTCCTCTAACCTTTACCCTTACCTTAATCTGAACTCTGCTCTAACAAACTGCCCTGGCTGGCTGAAACCAAACTACAGGTACATTCCACCCCCTGGTGATTAACAAAAGCACTTATAACAGCCCCGTGTAACAGGTTGGGTGCGTGCCTCGTTAACATATGAGAAAATAGATGGTAAAGGATTAATTGACTTGTGACAAATAACCTTTTCTGACTCCATATCACACTTTAAAGTAACTTTTAAAATAATTTAGAAACATTTTAAGAAGAAAAGTACAGAGAATAACAGATCCCTTTGTGCAAAAATAAGTTTAACTTTTTTCCATATTTCAAGTTTTGTGTTACCATTACAGCTAAATATGCATTTTCCTCATCGAATTTCCTTCCATCCCCAGAGATAGCCACTCCTGTGTCAAAGGCAGAATATACTACCCCATTAATAGATGATTTTATTCAGGCTATTGCAGTTAGGAGAACATTCTTAATTGCCTTATCTGGGAATATGCCACAGGCTGGTCCTTTTCAGTTACCTGTTCCCAGAACACAACATGATGAGGTGGATTTCTTAACCATCACTGCTTTCCAGGAGCAGAGGACTCAGGTAAAAAGTTAAACATAGTCACCTGAGATTGATGTGTTTCATTTTCATTAATATTTCTATACTTTTAGTCCTTCATCCTATGTATTGCCTTGATGTGTTTTTGAAATTGAAATGTTATGCATTATGTATCCTTCTGTAGCTTTTTGAAAAAAATTTAACTTTGTAGGTTTTTAAATTTTTGGTGGGGAGTCAGTTTTGGTTTTAGCTAGATATTTTTATTTTGACTGCTGTATAGTATCTTTTGTATGAGTGTGAAAATTTATCCATTTTTTCAAAAAAAATTTTTTTGAATCAGGCTGGAGTACAGTGGCATGATCACAGCTGACTGCAGCCTCAATCTCCTGGGCTCAGACGATCCTCCTGCCTCAGCCTTTCCTGAGTAGCTGGGAACTAGTCATGTGCCACCATGCCCTGCTATGCCCTGCTTTTTTTATTTGTATTTTTTTTTTTTGTATTTTTGTAGAGACGAGTCTCGCTGTGTTGCCTAGACTGCTCTTGAACTCCTGGGCTCCAGCAACCCTCATGCCTCGCCCTTTTGAAGTACTGGGATTATATAGGTGTAAGCCATTGTGCCCAACTTTTTTCCCTGTTGATGGGCATTTGGACATTTTCCTAATTTTTTGCTCTTTTATTTTTTTGTCTATTTAAACTGCTTTTCTAATAGTCTGTTTCCATGGTCTATATTACTGAGTAGTCTTTAAACCCGTGTGTGTCTCTCCTTGGCATGTGTCTAGAAGTGGGAGTCCTGGGCTGGAGGACAACATGTGTGTGTATTTTCCACTCTACGAACTAGTTTGTTTCAGTTTGCATCCTGTCATCAACAGCCTGTTTCCCCATTTCCTTTTACCACCTGAGATGAGCCTTAAAACCTTTGCCAATCTAATGGGTGTGAGATGGCTTCTCGTTGTTCTATTTTGGATTTCTCTGATTAGTAGTGACTTGACTTCTTATAAATCTGTTGCAGCTTGTGTTTTTACGTGCCTGCTGCATCCTGTGAACCTGACCTTGTGTAATTACTCATCATGTCTTCATTTAAGCTTACTTGTGGAGCATGAAGTAAACCCACCGTTTAAAAAACCAACAAGAATGAAGCCAGACACAGTGGCTCATGCCTGTTATCCCAACACTTCAGGAGAAGCGAGAGAATTGCCTGAGTCCAGAGGTTTGAGACCAGCCTGGGAAACCTGACAAGACCTCATCTCTACAATAAATAAAACAAATTAGCTGGGCACGGTTAGTGCATACCTGTGGTTCCAGCTACTTGGAAGTCTGAGACGGAAGGATCACCTGAGCCCAACAGATTGAGGCTGTGCTGACTGTGAGCATGCCACTGCACTGTAGCCTGGGCGATAGAGTGAGACTCTGACTCAAAAAAAAAAAAAAAAAACCCAAAAAACAAGAATGAGATTGTTGGGCAGAACCTCATGCTGAGGACCTACACTCCTCTCTTCTGGCACATGAGTTTTCTCTCCTGGCGTCTTAAGCTGCTGTGTCACAGAAGTTCAGTACTGTCTCTTAATTCTAGCCAACTGCAGTCTCAATCTCCTGGTAGTGGTAGGATGTAGAGTGATTGAGAAGTGAACTTTGTCAAGGGCCGTGGAAATGAACATCCTCACTTCATACTCATCCTTCTATCTGTTTCCATTCCTCTTTTTT